TGCGCCATCAATCAATTAATTGAGTTCGAAATATTGCAATTAATTGCCCCCACAATCAATTATTCGGTAGGCCTGATTACTACTATTATAAAATGGTTCACTACAAAAAGATTAACTTGTAATTTTCTCACGATCATTCATACCACTACATATGCATTATGAAGTAATTATAACATATGATATACAGTATTTATAATATCTACTAAATTAGGAAAAAATCGATAGCCATAATGCCTTCTAAAATAGGAAATAATATAGCGCACCAAAAAGTTGAACGGGTACCATCCCTCCACATTTCATGTGATCGTACTGGTATAGGTATTTTTGTACAAACAGCATCACATGCTTGAATTCAATTCGCAAATTAATTATCGATCTTCTGATTGGTTGTTATTAAATTTTTAGAGCGCTATATCTTCGAAGAATTGATTTTTTCAAATCTAAAAATCTCAATATTTTATTAAGTCAATGTATAATAAAAATTATATTTCATATAAATAAGAACCAATACTTTAATTTGAACAAGAATTTTCTAATTTTACACGGGGTGTTTGAACAGTCATGATCTACAATTAATTTTTATTAAAAATACAAGTAAACAATGATAATTTTAATTAATATTAGGGTTAGAGTTAGAAGTTATAGTTAGTAAAAGGCATAATTTATAGTAAAATTTTACAAGAAACTTTTTCATGAGTCCATGAGATGATTTCATAATTAAATTTTAAGATATTACGAATGTTTCACTTCATTTATTTCTGCATACTGCATTTAATTTTATATTTTGATTGGCTTTTCTATTTGTTTTGTGTAATAAGTGTTTAAATACCCTGTATACAAATTGAAAAAACTTAAATTCGAACCAAAGACGGTTTCACAAGTTATTTCCAATATTTGATCAACATACTACATAAGTTGTACAGTAAAACCTCCTTAAATGCACTCAATCCAAATATACACATAACTTCCATAGATGCACTAAGTTAAAGTTTGGTACCAAGAAAGTGCACTTATACGTAGAGGCTTTACGGTATTCTTGATGTCTATATATAACGATAACTATCTGCATCAAAAAAGTAGTCTTAACTCTGTTTAGCCGACCTCCATAATAAAAAGGACCAAAATACAACCTTTAATTCACTGCCAACCATATGTATCGGTATATTTATCGTATTTCCTACCAGAACACGATATAATAAACTATTTTAATCATATACAATGTCAAATGAAAAGAGCATTTGCAATAATTCAATTGCAGATTATGATGATAGTCGAGTTGTTAATCCCTCAAAACAAGCAGATTTATCGTTGCAGGATTTTCTAAATAGCACTATCAAAGAATTATGTGACCTCTATAATGAAGAAGTTGAAAAAGGAAATCCAATAAGCTCAATCCTTTACTCCATAAATCAACATTTTACAAATAAGCAGCAAAATCCAGCAAAAATAATTAACTTATGTTTAAATAACCAAACAAATCCTATTGTTCAAACCAATCCTATAATTCAAAATATTCTTGCATATTGCTATCAATATGGAAAATGGATTATAAAAGATAATCACAAAGCATTTATTCATTATCAAAAATCAGCAGGGATGGGAAATTCTATTGGAATAAATTATCTTGGATTTTGTTATGAACATGGAATCGGGGTTGAAAAAGACTATCATAAAGCATTTATATACTATCAAAAATCAGCAGATATGAAATATTCTTACGGAATTAATTCTCTCGGTCGCTGTTATCAATATGGAATCGGAATTGAAAAGAATGAACGTAAGGCATTCAATTATTATAAAGGATCTGCTTATAGCAATTCTAGTGAAATGAACAATCTTGGATATTGTTTTCATCATGGAATTGGTGTTAAAAAAGATGAATTTGGGGCATTCGTGTATTATTCCAAATCTGCTTACATGGGTAATTCTAATGGAATGAACAGTCTTGGATTTTGTTACGAAAAAGGAATTGGTGTTGAAAAGGATGAACTTAAGGCATTCATGTATTATTCCAAATCTGCTTACATGGGTAATTCTAGTGGAATGAACAGTCTTGGATTTTGTTACGAAAAAGGAATTGGTGTTGAAAAGGATGAACTTAAGGCATTCATTTATTATCAAAAATCTGCTAATATGAGTAATTCTGGTGGAATATGTAATATTGAATGCCATCAAAATGGAATTGGAACTACAAAAGACTTAAAGAAAGCCGATAGGTGGTTGAAAATAGGACATAGTTTTAATCTTTTAGAAAAAAGAACCAAATTATGTCCAAACTCAGTATGTCAATGTGAAAAAAAATTAAAAATAGTCGAAAATTGTGATCAATGTAAAAATAATATAAAGTGTGAGGCAGAATACCTGATAATATGTGATGATTGTCTTCATGAAGTATTAGAGAGAGAATCTGCTAATTGGTCAAGTGGAAATTTACAAATTGATGAATTTATTAGAAAAGCACGGCAGTCATTATATTATACTCGATACCCTGAACGGATTCCATATACTTTTTATACTCGATACCCTGAATGGATTCCATATAATTGTTTAACCAAAATAAAACATATTAAAGACGAATTTGGTGCAGTAATTTCTGCAGAATGGAGCCAAGGAGTCAAGACAATACAATATTCTAATAATAAGTACTATTACATTCGATCAGATCCCTGTGCAGTTGTTTTAAAGAAATTAAAAGACATGAACCAGCTTTCAATTATAGAAGTGCGCTACCAAGATTTGTTTTATTGTTGTGGCTTATATGGAATTGCCCAAGATCCCTCAACATCAGAATATATGATTGTAGAACCCCCGTCTCTATGCGATAATTGTCTTCATAAAACGTTAAAATGTGAATTTTCTAAATGGTCAAGTGGATGTTTACAAATTGATGAATTTATTAGAAAAGCGCAGCAGTCGTTATCTTATGATCGGTATCCTGAATGGATTCCATATGATTCCTTCACTGAAATAAAACCTAGTAGAGACGAATTTGGTGCAGTAATTTCCGCAAAATGGAGCCAAGGAGCTAAAAGAATACAAAATTTTAACAATAGACGCTATTATTTTCGATCAGATCCCTGTGCAGTTGTTCTGAAGAAATTAAAAGATATGAATCAGCTTTCAATGATAGAAATACGCCACCAAGATTCATTTTGTTGTTGTGTCTTATATGGAATTACCCAAGATCCTTCAACATCAGAATATATGTTTGTAGAACCTACACCCCTATGCGATGATTGCCTCCATAAAGTGTTAAAAAGTGAATTAATTGATGAATTTATTAGAATAGCACAGCTGACATTGCGTTATAATCGGTATCCTGAATGGATTCCATATAATTCTTTCACCAAAATAAAACATATTAGAGGCGAATTTGGTGCAGCATTTTCTGCAGAATGGAGCCAAAGAGCCAAAAAAATACAAAAATTTAACAATGAGCGCTATTACATTCGATTAGATTCCTGTGCGGTTGTTCTAAAGAAATTAAAAGATATGAATCAACTTTCAATGATAGAAACACGATATCAAGGTTCATTTTATTGTTGTAGCTTATATGGAATTACCCAAGATCCTTCAACATCAGAATATATGCTTGTAGAACCCTCATCTCTATGCGATGATTGTCTCCATGAAACATTAAAATGTGAATTTTCTAACTGGTCAAGTGGAAATTCGCCAATTGATAAATTTATTAGAAAAGCACAGCAGTCGCTACCTTATGATCAGTATCCTGAATGGATTCCATATGATTCTTTCACCGAAATAAAAAATATTAATAGAAACATACTTGGTGCAATAATTTCCGCAAAATGGAGCAAAGGAGCTAAAA